GAGAAGAGTGTAAACTTTACACTATAAAGAGTATTAGTGTGAAGTTGGAACTTCGTATCTCTCGACGAAGTATGAATATACTCTAGCGAAGAACGGAACACACTGAATAATGTTTCTTGGAAAATCCACTTGCCCAAATTCATAAGTATAGGGTCTTAGTTTCTTCTTTACCTCTTCTTCGAGATCCTACCAACTTGGTTTCAGTTTTTTTGTCGTAAAAGTCCTTAAGCGCAGAGTCTTAGTTTAATTTTCTTTACCTCATTTTTAGTCATCCTACTCTTATTGAGTCATGTTTTCAGTTCCTTTCTCTTCCTAGGTGATTCTACCGGCATATTTGGATGGTTTCAATTACTTTACCTACTTCTTGAAGGTCCTTCCAGTTCAGGTTCTAAAATCCAGATACTTTACTTTATTAAACGGGTTTTATAACTAGAAGTCTGGATAAGTAAATAAAGTATCACATGTTTCGCAGTTTTTTTTTTGGAGGTTAAAACAAAACTCGCCGATAACAGTTTAAGATAGTAGACAATTAGAGTATGTTCCATAGCGTAACCAGACGACGAAGTAATGATCAAACTGCGGAAAACGAAAGAAACGTCTGAATCTTCTGTTGTAACGGAAGAGTACATTACCAAAATATTTTTGGAAAATACTTCTGTAGTTAGAAAACTTGGTCAGATTCGACTTATACTGAACTGTCATGATTAACGGGTGACTGTCATACATTTCGATAAAATCACTATATTACTATCATAAAATTAATACCAGCTGATAGGAAAGCCGAAGAGAAGGAAAATGGAACCGTTTTAAAGTTACTCAATTTATTAACATACAAAGCAAAGGATTCGATGACGCTCTCCGTGAGCCGAAAACCACAACTCAAAGTAACTTCCTAAATCAACAAAGTCTCAGCTTTAAATGATAGTAAAAGGTATTAAGGAGCACTTTTTCAAGAACTTTGTTCGAAGTATCTGTATAACACATACAAAATGTCCAAAAATTTTTACAGATTGAAAAAAATTTGAATTCCGATACACTTCGTTCTCGTTTCAATTTTTTTTTTTTAATTACCATATTTAGGCTCACTCTTCCTTGAAAGTGTCAAAAAGCCGGCTGCGCAATTACTTGAATTATTTACTTTTTATTTACCAGTAAAAAGTTGGCATAACCTCCAACCAGTCAAAACGCGCCCTCATACTCTCCATTTAAAGCCATTGAGAGTACCGCAATTACACTCGAATACTCGAATAAATTTATCTCACACACAGTTTTAGCATATTATGTTCTCCACTTAATTTCAGCTTCACTTGCTCTCGCACACACCTGCTGGCTGCAAATCAGCTGTTTCCCTTTGCGAGATTGCATAACAGTTTGAGCAGCGCTGTAGCTGAGTGAACATCTGATTGAAATAACTGTGAGAGCGAGCCGTGACGGAGAGCCATCACAAAAACATATGTCAGAGAAGACACGAAAGGGATTGCACGTTATCGATTTTTCATCTAAAAGCAACAAAAAAGTAAGCTATGTTGTAAAAGGGAGGCATTCCAACCGGTCACTAAACAGCTGATTGCCGATGGAGGGCGCATGGAGCACGCACACTAACCAACAGCTGAGCGTATGAGCATGTATGCGCCGAAAATTGTGGTAGGTGTGTATGTGAACTGGCAAAAGAGATAACGGTAAGTGGAAAAAAATACACTTTTGACCCGTAGAATGAACGAACGAACAAATGTGAAAGTATAATAGGACATAAGATAATATGCAAAAGCATATGAAGTGAAAGAAGGTGCACGAAAGAGATAGCGTAATAACCAGAAGAGCACGAACTCATACTTGACCGTAGGCATTATGCGGCCTTGCATGTGTGTGTGTGTACGTTGAATGCGGCGACTGATGATGAGGAAGGTTATGGCAAAAGCCGCATTAGGTTAAGCGGCGACACAGATGACAAGAGCTAAAGCATTATGCTACAATAACAGCAACAATTTAATGTGCTCAAATCAACATGAAATATGGTTCCTGCAAAAATATATAGCGGACGGCTCGAAAAAGTGGGTTGGCAAATCTTCGATTTTTCCAGTAAATGCCAACGGTAGGTAATCATAGCGACATGGGCACATACAAACATACATATGCAGGCATAAGGAGAGCGAGCGCATCAAAGAGCGCTAACGAAGTGGTGATTAGTAGTAGACGAACGAAGCAGCAGCAAATGAACGGACTTGGAAGAAGTTGTTAGTAGGCCAGTGAAATTTCGGAAAATTCGATAATTTGGCTGTATTTGCTGGAGCACACGAAATCACCGACGAAGTTGGTGATAGGAAACGGTCAAATATTTTGTATAAAAAACTATTTGTATAGAAACGCATCCACACAAAATTTAACAGGACAAAAAATATGTTTCAAATAACTCACCAAAAATGTTAAATACACCTGAACCTGGCTAGAAGCTAGTAGCACCACGACCGCTAAATGGCTACCATTAGGAACTAACGTCGACACTATAGGTAAAGAGAACAGCAACGGTTTCGTATAGGCCAAATGCGACCCTTTCACAGTAATTAGCTACTACTTGACGCCAAGCGACAGCATACAAAAATTTCAAGAAAATCTCGACAATATAGAAGCTCTATACGTTCATTATGCCTTCAACAGCGCTAGATGGGCGGACGTGATCGACGCTATGCGAAAAAAAAAATCAGAATCCTCAACTACCTCAGAGCTGTTTTGCGGAGCTACCTTAGCAATAGAAAACTGCTGTACCAAACTAGAGAGGGATCACGACAAATAGCGGTTACGGCAGGAGCAGCACAAGGATCCTTTTTAGGTCCCGATATCGAATTGGCTACGTGAACGACATTGCAGCAGTAATTACAGCCTTAGACACAGAAGAAGCGCATAGAAAGCTAAACCAAATTATGATACTCATGATGATCTACACAACTTCCAGTTAGCTGCGGAAAAAACAGAGCTACTACTGCTAACAAATAAGCACATACCTCTTGAAATAAGTATGCAAACGACTACGGATATTCTAAGAACACAAAAAGCGATGAACTATCTAGGCGTAATACTCGACCCCAGATTAATTTTCTGGGTACAAATCCAGCATGTCACAACAAAGACAGCGCAAATCATATTATATGGAGCAGAAAACATTTAATTGTACTAACAGTACTAAAATCTGCTGGCACTAAAATATATTAATTTATTAAAGTCATATGCATGAAACTGTTTATGCATAAACTTCAATGAATATACAAGAAAAAAATGAGTGTAAAAGAAATTGAGTACTAAAAGGCGGATTACATTTAGTAAACTTTTTAGTACTAAAAATAATGTGTACTCAAATGTTATGGATTAAAATAAGCTTAAGTCACCCAATATAACCTTTTTCGAAATTTTAGTACAAATATAATATGTACTAAAAACTTTTTATGTGGTAAAACTTATTAAAAGATATCTTTGAAAAATAGCTAGATAAGATTCATTTCCTAATATTTTCACCAAGCTATATACAAGTATACATCTTTTTAGTTTAGAATTAAAACTTACAACCAAAACCAATGTGTACTAAAAACTTACGGAATAGATTAGCTTAAGTTACCAAGCAAAAAACTTCTTAAAGCAAATCATTTTTCACAATTTTAGCACACAAGTCAAGTGTACTAAAAACGTTATACGTGGTAAAAATTAATAAAAATACATACTAGAAAAATATGCCCACTTATACAATGACTCATTTAACATTATTTCCTCCAAAAGAAATTAACTCTTTTGTACCGCAACTCTTTACAAAGTGAATTTTGTTACAAAATTACTAAAATAAAAATCTGGAAGTAAATGCTAAGGCAAGATATCGCTTATAGTTTATAGAGCAACAAGTCTTTTAACATTTTTACTAAAAATTTTGCATATATTTTAGTACAGAAAAGCATTTTAGTAGACTAAGTACTAAAAATAAAACTTGGAAAAATCTGATTATACATAGGTGTGTGTTTTGCAAAATGTGTGATGGAAAGTTTAGAGCGTATAAATCTGTGATAGAAAAATTCAGAGAGAAAATACTGAGAATTAAAAATATTAGTACTAAACTATTTCATAAGTAGAGCATTAAAGCCTTATGGCAGAAGATTTCTATGGAAGTTATAGGTATGTAGCCAAATATTTTTTCAACGGTGTTTCTGAATTTCAAATCGCTTGTTTTCTTCCTTATCTTTTGTACCAGAGACCACTTGAAATAAACACCATTTTTTTACCATTTTGTCTATCGGAGATATTTATTATTCCTAATTCTTAGTACAAAAAGATGCTCTGAAAAGTACATGTATCACGTTCTATGTTTATAAAGAATTGGGATGTCCACAAACGCCAAAATTTTTTTTTTTGAAAACTAACTTAGAAAAAAAATACCTAAATAGACTTTAACTATCGATCGAAAATATATTGGAAAATATTAAAGAGTCCATGCTTAAATTAGGCTTGTCTCAGAAGCAGAACCAAAAGTAGTTTTATATTATATCTCAAATATAATCAAACAAAATCATTATTACATAAAACAAATGAATATACGAGTATATAATATGAATATGTGAGCCTTAAACCTTAATTTTTTACACTTTCGTGAAAATAAATATCAATTTTATTAAAAAAATATTAAAAATTAATTAATTTTCTTTTTTTCAGTAAAATAAAAACAGTTTTTAATACAATTATTATTAAAACTAATAATAAAGAGACAAAAAACAAATTTTATTATTGTAAAAGTAAATTATTAATGCTAAATTAAAAAAAATTAAGTACGTTTTTAATATTTATTAATTTTTTGACACTATGAATTGTTTTAAATACTTACCATATATTAAAATAAAAACAACTTTTTGTAAACAAACTGCCCTATTTAAAAAAAAATTTTAAGTACCTTATAAATTACATATATATTATAAATTATGGCAAATTTATACAACTTAATATTAAAGTTTTAAAAATTTGATATCTACCTTTATTTATATTACGCCTCAGCTTGAACTCTTTACTTAAGCTTTTAAATAAGATGGATGGAGAAGAAGAAGCACGCAGTTAATTATGCTTTTCAAGTATTATTTTTTGACAATTATGCTTATATAATTACGCAATTAATGCACCAAAATTTTATATTTCAAAATTTTCCTACGACGCTGCGAATTAAACAACTTTTGGCTATTTTTGTTTTATGTTTTTAGTTAAGTATTTAAATTTGTATTTACTGCGCTAATATCGAAAAATGGACTTTAGCGTTTGACGCTGGATTAATGCAAAATTGTTTCGAAATGATTTTCGAAGGTTTTTCGATATTTTTTCAAAATTGTTTTCGGACTTTTTTTATTCTTTCTTTTAAATATGTTTCGAAATTTTTTCAATTCTATTTTTAAATTTTTTTGAAACTTTTTTTCAAAATTAGTTTTGAATTTTTCTCGAATTATTTTAATATTTGTTTTTTTGCGATTATAGTTGTTGTTGTTTTTTTGTCTTATGCAAATTAGCTGCTTTTACTGCCTTTTCGTTTGTTGTCTTTTCAAGCGACTAAGCATTGATTGCACATAACCTTACACGAAACACATATACATACATATATATACACGATACACAGTCTTTTTAATTAATTTTACTTGTATTTTATATTGGTTTTGCTGGTTAAGTGGGTATTTATGTAAGCAAATTAGTGTATATTTAGCTTAAGTTTTGTGTGAAACTATTTATTAGTTTATATTTATTTGTATTTTTTTTCTATTTGGCGTGTTTAAAGTCTTTGATTAATGTCTGGTATGTGTGGAGTACGTTTGTGTGTATTTACTTGAGGTTTAAAACTGAATTTTTGAGTTTTTTTCCTGGTGAATTTTTTTCGTAGTAATAGTTGCTGTTGTTGTTGTTGGTTTTCTTACGTTGAAACCGTTATAAACTTTAGACGGATATTGATTTTTCTTGCTCGTCGCTGGTGGCGGCTACTCCACTTCAACACACTTCACTTTCGCTGCATGAAAATTTTTTTCACAACGAAAATTTTGTTTTTTCTTGACAAAAACCTTTAAAACTGCAACTGCACGTACTTATTTACTTTGCGGTTTTAACTGTTTTACAACTTTGTTGCATTTAATAGCTGTTTGCTTAGATTTTTGCACAAACGCAACACACTTTTAGGCGTACAATCCTTAAGCTGGCGTTAGTTTGCATTGAAGCTCTTTGTTGTTGTTGCTGTTGCTTTTGTTCGCACCGCTGCTGACTGACAGCTTAGTTGTTGGTCGCTAACCGGTTGTTGTTGTGGTTTTACTTTGCAACACACAAAAAATTACCTTTACCTTAACTTTTTTTGTTGTTTTTAAATTTTTTTTTTTTGTTTTGGTTTTGGACTTCAAAAGACTTTCGGTCAACGTATCGTCAAGACACTTAACTGACTTCCATGTGAGCTCACAGTTCGCTTAATACTGATTTAGGCAGGAAATCGGCCGCAGTCTTCTTATATCCATATTTACAGCTGGCTGGTAAAACAACAACTATACATAACGGTTGTGCTGTCAAATCAAGGCGAGAGCATACTCGCGAAAATTTGTTTTTGTAGGCCAAGCAGCAAATAACATGTGATGCTTTTAAGTTCAATTGGTGTGCATACACACACTTACATGCATGCATACAGCTGTACAAAAATAATAACAACAACCTTGTCTTGTTTGTAAATATAGGTTAGTATTGGTGTTGTTATGACGCATGCGCCATTTTATTGCGTACTTTTTTCGCCCGCAGCCTGTTTATATGGCAAACGGCAATTTGTCATTTGAAAGTTGACAGTCATGTCTTTTGACAGTTGTCAAATCAGCTGTTCAACAATGTGGCAATAACAGTAAACGATAAAGCGTGCGTCGAAGCACAGAGCATAAAAGCAAGAGAACGCGCAATGCGATAACGTTACAGTGTTAGCAATACAAATGCAAGCGCGCGCTCTAACGCTGTCGCTCACTCACTTCCTTTTAGTTGGCATACCGTTACTCCATATACTTGTATGTATTTACGTCATTTTACAGTTACTCGCTATCCACTATACTCTTTTAAACATAATTTGAAAGCAGGCATTTTGTGACCCGCTCATCTGACTACACTCTCATCCTTTCGTTACGTCCCTGGTTACTCTCACTTCATGTGCGATGCACCGTTATATGTAACTGTAATCACTTTTTTGCAAAAATTTATTTCGAATTTCGTAACACACATTCGAAATACAACGATCAGCTGTTTATTTGCAAGGCTATGGCAAATGTGGGCGTGACAACCACGTTGCGGCTCTCCGCATTGGTGTGCATATGTGAGGGCTTGTTCAAAACGGAGCCTTGATTTCAATATCCTTGAATAAGATAGAAGTAACTGGTGCAGTTTTTTTGAAGGTAGATGCGTATGATTAGTGACCTCCATGAGTATTAGAATTCTTCTGTCATGCCAAGAAAAAACCAATTAAAAATTTTTGAGCTACATATGTATCGGCATGGGTTTCATTAGTCCTCTTGAAAGAAACTTCTTATACTTCAGCGGTAGCCATTCTTTTCTAAATATTATTTTAATATTTTACAAATTAATTCTTATATAAATAAATTATTTATTTTAGAGATGTGGTGACCACGAATTATTTGAATTTTTAAATGAATATGAGTGCTTAAGTTATATGAAGTTTTTTAAATATGTGGCAACCACGTCAGACATTTTTACTATTTTATATGTTAGGTATTGTTATAAAGAATGGCGATTTTCAAGTGTATCCAGTGACTGAGAGAGGAGCGCAACAATCTCTGTAACAATTTTTTATAAATTTTTTCTCCAACAATTGATGAATTAGGACCCCACATGCTAAATCCTCGCCGGGCCAGGGATTCCTCTCTACGATCCTGCGTATATCACTAGACAACAACAACAAAAATATATATATATATTTATATCAGTAAAGAAAATATGAACTGAAAAATAAATAAAATTAAAATTAACGTTAAAAATAAAATTAAAGTTGTATTAAAATTAATATTAAAAATAAAATTAATATAAAATTAATATTAGAAATTAAAATTATAATTGAAATTAAATTAAAAATTAATACTAAAATTTAAATTTAAATTTAAATATCAATTAAAATTAAAACTAATATCCAAGTTAATAGGTAAAAAAAATTAAGAGCAAATTTAGATTAAAACTAAAATTAAAATTAGAATTTAAATTATATAAAAAATTAAATAATACTAAAATTAGTTTCAGAATTGATGTCAATAAATTAAAACTAATAAAAAATAGAATGGAATAATGTAAAAATATGACAATTAGTACCAAATTTAGAATTAACTCAATCTTCATTAAATTTTGCTAATTAAAATAAAAATTTAAATTAGAATAAAATAATATTTATATTAGAAAAAAAGTTTATATCTTTACTCTTATTAAAACTAACATAAAAATTAAAATTTAAGTTAACGAATTGAAACAAAATTTAAAATTGCAACTTAATTATAAATTAGAACCAAAATAAAATACAAAATAGAAAAAATTTAAATAAAATAACATTAAATTATTGCATAATAAATTAACTAAATTAAGTAAAAATTACAAAAATTATATAACTACTGATTAAATAAAATACAATAATTTTTAAAATTAATATATAAAATAAAATATAATATGAAAATTGTTTCTAAATTTAAAATTAAATCAATCGTAGTTAAAATTAAAACTTGAATTTTCCTTAGTGAAATAAAAATGAAAATAAAAATAAAATAATATTTATATTAGAATAAAAGTTTAAATCTTAAATTTATTATAATTAAAATAAAATTTAATTAAAATGAATTAAAATTATAACAAAAATTAAAATTGAAATTTAATTTTAAATTAGTGCGAATAAAATTAAATTAAATTAAAAAAAAACAATAAAAAATTAAGTATATAACTATTAATTAAAAAAAATAAAATTAAAAACCAATAAAATAAATTTTTATAATTAATGCATATCCAAGTAAAATTAAATAAAATTTATAAAAGAATAAAAACTTCAATTAAATTCAAAAACAAAAAATTAAATTAGTTTTTTTAAATCCTTTAGCTCCCTATACTTGTATATATTATATAATATTTATATACCCTCTAATAAACGTATATGAGCTTGTAGTTAGTTTACACTTGAAGGTCAAATGAAAAGACATTCAAAGTGATTTGCATTTCGACTTTTGAACGAAAATTCCATTCGCTCGACATATTTAATAATAGAAATGCATGTCAGTATACGGCCACCGTTCAAATAGTTGTTCTTATATAACTCGCATTGCAGGTAATCTACAACAACAAGACGCACACGTGTTTGGAGTAAAACGTGACAAGTGCTTGGGAAAATACTAAAATCAACAATTTATTTACACTTTTAGAGCTCGTTCGAGCTGCCTGCAGTATATTAGCGCATAAACATATGTACATGCGTGTGTGTGTGTGCGTATAAAGAACTCTTTATATTTAGGAATACAACTTACAAGCTGCTTAAGAAATTGCATTTTATTATTAGCGAATGAGTATATGAATGCGTGTGTGTGTTTGCCTTCAGCACTTTGGCCAGCATTACTAACTTAATTATTATTATGATGGCATAATGAATAAATTATATAGAATAAACGACTAGCAATCAATGTATACACACACGTACTATTGTGTGTACTTTAGCGTTTTTTATTGCATACTTATAGGTGTTCCAACTTACTGGCGCACTGGTACACGCATAAAGTCGATTTTCCGGCCGGCACAATGCCACTGCATATCAGTGTATGTGTGCCTGTGTGTGAAGCTCGTGTTCGACCGCAAGTAATGTTATTGTTATTCGTGCGATTGTTCTCGTGTGTATACGAGTTGTGAACTGGAACGAATGGCCATTGTGAGCTCATAAAAAGTTATACAATGGCACAGCGCCTTATGGTATACCTCAATGCATGCAATGTATGGGCAATTGGGTATGTATGCGTGTCTATTTATGGCCGCATGTTTGTTCGCCTAAGTGTGTCAGGTGTGCGTGTTTAAGTTTGTCTTGAAATTATGGGCTATAAGTAATGTGCTTTTCTTTTCACATTTTTGTTGGTTTTTTTTTGTTTGCTAAGTATTTTTGTGAGCGTTAAATAACCGTTTACGATATTTTAATAGGTGCTTTAAATGCAACTAAAATTATGCAGTGATTTTTACTTCGAAATATTTATTTTTTCCTAGGAGATATATTCAGAGAGACCTACCCGCTTTTAGTCGATTAGGCGCTAATTTAGAGATAGCTTATAACATTAACAATAATATGATGCCTAAAACTTTTAATTGTTTTTCTTCAAATTTTTACTAATATATATGTAACATATGTTATATGTATATTTTTAAGGTGGCATCTCAGCCCTAAATATTATCATTTAAAATATGTTTCTAGAACGCTCACACAAAAATGTGTAAAAAGAAAATTAAAAATTTTTGAATGTGTGATATTATTAAAACTTGGCAACTCTGTCCAAAATCATACCACCCTGCCTAAAATATTGTCATTAAAAATATATCTATTCTATCAGCGGGTGTTGCATAAAAATTGAATACATGTAAATGTAAAATTTCGTGTATTGTAATATTTTTTAAAGTCGGCAACTCTATGGCATAAAATGCATTCCTGTCAAAAATATGTTCATTTAAAATTATTATATTCTACTTTGCTTACATAAAAATTTACAAGTAGTATAAACTTACTTTTTTACAATATTTTTCATAGTTGGCAACTCTATGTCAAAAAATGCATCCCCGGGAAAAAATATTGTCATTATTTTGTATTTTCTTATGTATACTTGTAGATTTCGTTTCGCGGAGATAATATGGGTATAAATATGGTATAAAATATAAGGTTGTCATATATCTCCCTTCCGCTTTTTTGCTCTTCATTCAATGCTTTATAAAAAGTGTTACAGTGATCGGATTTATTTAAAATATGCGCCGTTTTGTTCGATGATCTGTTTCCATCTAGACGGCAACTTCATAATACCTTCCTCGTAGAAGCCCCCCTCCTTATTTGCGAAGAATTCGGACAGCCACTTTTCACAAGCCTCTTTTGAGTTCAACTTCACACCACCAAGGGCATTCGCCATGGACAGGAACAGGTGGTAATCACTTGGCGCTACGTCCGGGCTATATGGTGGATGCGATAAAACCTCCCATCCGAGCTCCCGTAGCTTCTGACGAGTCATCAACGAAGTGTGTGGTCTGGCGTTGTCCTGGTGGAACACTACACCCTTCCTGTTGGCCAATTCTGGACGCTTCTGGTCGATCGCCTGCTTCAAGCGGTCCAGTTGTTCGCAGTAGATGGTAGAATTAAGCGTCTGGCCATATAGGAGCAGCTCATAGTGGATGATTCCCTTCCAATCCCACCAAACACACAGCAAAACCTTCCTGGCCGTCAATCCCGGCTTGGCCACTGTTTGGGACGATTCACCGGCCTTCGACCACGACCGTTTTCGCTTGATATTGTCGTATGTGATCCATTTTTC